GTGAGAATACATATATATATATATATATATATATATATATATATATATATATATATATATATATATATATATATATATATATATATATATATATATATATATATATATATATATATATATTACATACGTTACATTATCGGGGCCGGCTTAAACCACGGACATATAGCATTAATTTACCATTATATGATACCCTTAAATTACAAGTTAATTCGAGTAATTTTGACAACAAATCTTGTAATAAATTTAAGCAGCTTGGAGCAATTTTTGATAGTTAGATAGATAGTTAGAATTAGATACTAGAATATATCACAAATAAACTTAGATCACTTACACCAAATTTCAGATTTCAGATTTTCCATAGAAATTTTAGAGTTAGACCAACCTTGACGATACGCTCGCTCAATCGCATTTAGATTACGGAATTTTAGCATGAATCACGTTGACAAACAAATATTTAGGGGGAATTAACATTTCACAAAAATGGATTTTAAAAATTATTTATAAAAGGGATAGGTGTTATCCAACAGCACAAGACAACTCTATTTTCAAAAAATAGCAATCCAAATCTTTCTAAATAAAACTCCTATTCGAAATTAAGAACATCCTTACTAACCAGAAACAGAATGAAACAAGCCACTATCAAACCGAAGGTATCTAAAACAATAGGACATAGATGTTTTCATTATAGGATTACTTCATGCTAGAACACATTCGTTAATCAAAATCGGATTAAACACATTTATTAAAACTGAAATTACTAGTGATGAAATCCAGAGTATAACAGATTTGAAGAACAACTAAAAAATTTCAAATTTATTAATGGGATCCATGTATCCATTATTTCCTTATGATTATTTTCTAGTTTTTGTATTTATATTTACTTTCTATGCCTGCTAGGATGAAATTAGCTATCTATAAGTTATTATCTACTTACTAGGCACAAAATCCAGGATTATTAATGTTTTTACTTTTCTTTTTTCTTTTTTTTTTTGGTCCTACCGAGATTTTAAAAAAATGCCTTCAAGGCAAGAATTTGATATATTTTTCTGTTCAAATAGTTTATAGTTTAGCTATCCTGAGGAAGTATTCAGTATGCATGGTGGTCTTTTTTCCCACCTCGGAGGTTACTCTTGTGCATTGAAATAGTGTATTATACAAGTGCGGTAAACCGCATTTGACTCACGAGTTTATTTTGTTGGGTTATTGGGTTAGTTTTTGGGTAGATTTTTGCAAAACACGCATACATTCACTGATATGACCGTCAGAATTGACAAACGTCAAAATCCAGCTTTGAAATCTCCGAAAACATCCGATTGCGCCCGAAACCCGTGCAGTAATATCCCGCAAATGTCCAAAGTGACTCGGATCCGTGGAACAAGAAACTCACGTGGTAAAGTGACACTTCCCGCACGCTAGATCGGTTAAGTATTTTACGGAAGAAAGTAGAAAAACTGTATTTATTGTCTTCGTGGGATGTATTGAACTTGTCTTATAATATTGTATTTGTATTTTATGACAATAAATTTTATTTTATCTTTATTAACGGACACTTTGATATACTGTTTGTACGTATTTAAATTTTAGACAACGGCTTAAAAAGATATCAGTCAACGTTTACATAACATTCCCGAAACTTTAACATAACAAATAAAAAAATCCACTAATAACCTATGCGTTTAAATGCAAAATTTGTCTTCTAAAAAGACCAGAGAGGATGAAAATTGACAATGCGCAGATTTCTGCCCAAAATCGGATTTAGATTTAAAAATGCATCAATTTTGAAAAAATATGCAATATGTGCCTCGAGGAAAGGTTGCGTGCCAATATTCTCTTCCTCCAAATATCCGATCAATCAATGCGTTTACGGTGATGCTGTAGAAATGATGCGGGCCGAATTAAAAAACAAAGTTACACGCAATAATATAAAACAAAAACGTCCACCCACGTAATTGATATAATTAAAACTAGAGAGAATTAATACTAGAGAGCAGTTAGAACGTGCAAAATAATTATAAATGCAAAAATAATTATAAAAAACCTTAAAACAACGTAATGATACTGATAGCATGGATTCAAAGTATTTTGTCGACTAATTTCATTTAATATGTATTATTATTATTATATCCAATTATATAGTACGCAATACAGCAAAATGTATTCATACATTTTGTGTTTCAATTTCCTTACGATTACAATGATCGGATTTAATTTATTACTATACAAAACCCTCAATGTGCGAAATATCTAGGTATTCTACGAACTGGCCATTTTACCGCTTATGCAAAATCACTACTGTTGATAAAACAACCCAATGCCCTCGCGAACCCTGAAACGCTGATATTGCCTCTTTTGATCATCGTGCATAGACGTGACTGACCGCAACGACGGCGCCTGTTGGTATTGGTATTGGTATTGGCCCTCGCGGGCGTCCGAGCACCTAGGCCACCAGATGGACCCGTTGTGCCCCCGGGGAGTCCAGAATGCCGCCCTTCCTATAGAAGGTCAGCAACTCCTTTAGCCCAATACGGTGCACTGAGTCCGGATCGATCAGTGCCGTTCCGAAGACTCCCATCCCAATCTTGCCCATGTCAAAGCAGGGCACTCGGTGCGGCGCCTGTTTTTCAGACATGCGTTGCCCGAAGCAGTTAGTTGCCTACGAACACCGTTAATAATAGGCACGTGAATTTCGTCCTATCTCTAAAATCCCCTTTTCCACTTAATACCACTCTACAAGTTGGTGTCGCGATCTCTAAGATTTTTCTAAGGAAGTTATTTTTTGTTTAACGCGAGTTTCGTAATTATGAGTTACGCGAGTAAAACTTATTTGTCAAACTATGTACCGTCGTAGTGTTTTGATTTTGAATATAGTTCGTGTGGTGCTAAACGGCTATCATTTAAAATAAACCAGCCCCGCAAGAATACAGGCCACACCTCCCACCATTCAACCCGATAGATGGTGGTGAAGCAAGGAAACGTTTCTCCCCTAACTACTGTTTTCGATAATGTGCAATTGGCTACGATGTCTCAGGAAATCTGCTTAAGTCAATCAATTGGTTCATATGAGGATTAAAAGTCTTTATTTTCCAAATTGACTAAACAGTGCCAGTGCCTAATTCTGTCGAACTGTATCGGATATTCTTAGATAATTTAAATGCATTATTAGTAATTAAAACTCTTTTAATACGTTTCCATAATTTGACGGAAGAGAAAACATCATTAATATTCTGAGTGTAAGTCGCGGAAAAAAACTAAAACTACAAGATATTAAATGTTGGACTGTAATGCGTGTACCTTCACCTGTCTGTTATCATCCTACCAACTCAACTCAACAAGAGATTAAGAGATACTAACCAAAACTCACAAAATACTTACCGATTTCTACAAGCACATATCTATTTGTTGGTAAGTTTCTGTTATTCTGTTAACAGAACAACAGATACTACCCAAAACTAACCAAATACTTGCCAATTTCTAGAAGCACATGTCTATGTGTTGGTAAGGTTCTGTTATTCTGTTGTTGAATTAAGTTGAGAATCCTCGTATTAACTAGCGTATCAGACATTATGCAGATGGCCTAAAACAGTATAGTCAATTTGCAGTTTGCAAAAATAGTAATGATTTTGCCTAATGCCAGGTCAATTGGTTTGCTTTAAACAATGGTTCTTCTCATCAAAAAGAGCAACTTCTGTATTGCCCTGTAAAACATTGGTTAGTTTCAGGGATGAGATTAAGCGACCTACCTGTGAGAAAGAGGTCACAGTGTTGTATATCGGTACCCGAATGAGGCGTAATATCTATTAAAAAAAAGGGTCAAGAGACCATCACCGTTTCCGGTGCAATAAACAAGATATGCTAATGAACTATAACCTAATGATAAAAATTGATTTATTACCTACATATTCAGAGTGTTTTATTGATACAGCCAATTGTTTTTCTTGAACTGGAACCCTAAGAAGAAATAAAAAAAAGGTAAGCCTCGGTCAGCCGCTGTTGGTTTAACAAAAGAGGAACGCTTGGTTGGAGTGGATAATTTAAATAAAATTAATTTAATTACTCCCGTATGTTAAAACATTTTAGACAAATTTGATATACATTCCGAAGCTGTATTTCGTTTTCGTAAAAGTTATTACCATGGCTGACTAAGATATACTTTCTTTATTATATCTTGTGATCCTAAAGTTTGTAGTCCAAAAAAAGAATCCAAATCAATAAAACATCTCGCTTATTAAGGGATATTGCCAAGAAATTAAGTCGATTTGTGGATTATCAAACTATTTGTTATATATTGAAAATTGATGGTAAACACATTTAGTTAGTTTAACAATTTATTAAAATAAACGATACATTTACAATGGTATTGGAACAAGACATCCAAAAAGATAACGAATTTTTAAATCATTAAATAGTAACTTCTAACAAAATATTAACAACAATCTAGCCAAAACAAAATCACTACATTATACATATATTATTATTTAATGAATAAAGATTCTCTATTAAATATTAGAAACAGAGGATGTATTGAATAGGATAATCGGTTTGTATAATATCAACTTGTCCACAAAATACATTTGGTCGAATATGACATTTTTACTTGTAAGAAAATCAGTTTAAAAATATTTTGCACCTTTCACTTTTTAATCAGAACAATTGGGAAAAAAGATATGAAAATGTTATAGAAGAATATAGCAGAAATTTAGGTGTTAAATATTTACATCACTTTGGCAGCAGCAATACATTGACCAACCAATATTTTGGGTGCATCAAGTCGACTGGAAACAAGTCCAAAAAGTTAAATGAATTCAGTGCTTAAATGAACAGGAGTGCCTCAAAGTGTCTGGCGTCACATTCAAAATAGTCCCAATTTTCGATGTAGATGGAGCGCCAGATAAGTTCGATACAAACCTATCAGGGAGTGCGGGGGTAAAACCAATTACGACGAGAAAGTCAAGAAATTGGGAGGTCAATCTCACACTTTCCAAAACACCTAAAACAAATAATATTTTCTATAAATTAAAGCAGATACGTGCCAGTTATCGTACCTAACGTTAATAAAAAATGACTTAAGAATTACACAGCAGTCAGTTACAATAAATTTACAGTTCGTGTAAATTTGGTGGAATTTGTTTTATTTGAACTAGTACCGTTTTTGATAACAATATTGCTTAAAACAAAATCTTTTAGGTTGCCACAGAAATTCTGCGAGCTAAGCAAACTTTATATGACGTGTTGGAAGTGGCGGAAGAAAAAATTGTAATTAAATAGGACAAACATGGTGTAGGCAAGTATGTTTCCGTGGTATGAAAAAATATTTAATATTGTTTGTGAAGCACAGTGATTTTGATCATGGCGGCCGGGATAAAATAATGCACAACTTAAAAGCAAAACATGACGTTGAAATATATGCAATAGAAAAATTGCTTGAAACATCTCAAGTTTGCCAAGAGAGAAAGAACCAGTCTCATGCAAATCTGACCATAGAACCTATTATTTGAACAAACTTTTACTCTAGAGGACAAGGAGATCTTATGGATTTTCAAGCCTGTCCGGATAGTCCGTACCGTTGGTTGGTTAATTATCGAGGTCACCTAGTATACTTCGAAGCGATAACGGTCGAGAATTCACGGTATCTGATACCGGAAATGGTGAAAATTTGGCCATTTTTAAAAATTCTTCAGGATCGACCAACAATCACAAGGAAGGATAAAGAGAAACCATCAAGATATCGAAAATATGCTTAGAGCATGTACAACCATAGTTCAAAAAACTGGTCACTAGGTTCTTATTTCGTACAGTTTCAGAAGAATAGTTCCTACTACAAAATAATTGGATATAAAGCATTATGTGAAGTTGACAGTAAAGCTGGATTTTCTCCTTTGACTCTACCTAATTTGGATGTGGATATATGGATATGGAAAATGTGCAAAATGAAAATAACTTTCGTATTTTAGAAGAATAACATATAGAAAATTAAAACCTGCAAGAAAAGCTACAGTCTGATGAAAGACAAGAAACACATGGTAGGGGGACAATCGAGGGGGAAAGGGTTAAAGGTCACAAGGATGTTGACGAGGATATTCCATGATACCATTACTGAGGGTAGGAAGAAATAGAAACATTGGTGATTACCAAAGAAAACCCAGAAAAAATATTTAGTCGGGAAGAATTTAGGTTATGCATCATATGCTCTAAAGATGGATGGAAAAATGTATATACATAAATGTCAAAAATTTCCAAAATTGATAGAGGTCCTTCTGACATGCAAAATAGGACGCCATGTTTCCTGCACAATGTTAGAATTTTTCTGGGCAAACACCACACTATATTTATTGTTTTCCAATAAGCTGTGATGTTTGATAATCTGTTAATTTGTGGAGCGGTAAATGTCGAATTTGTGGTGTTTGCCCATGAAAATGCTAATATTTTTGAAGGAAATATGGCGTTGTGAGACTCCATGATCACACTCTTCCTATAAAGTCGCTCTACCAAAAGTGACATACTAACCAAACTATTAATACAATAAAGACTAGAGCTCTATTGCAATGAAAACTAGATTTTAGAAAATTTGTAACATAGTCCTTTATTCGTGCGAACGCTTCATTTCTATTTTAATTTTTGTATTTGTATTTCTTCGTTCTATAATTTTTTTATAGCATGAATCTCAAAATCGTACTTAATTTTTTGTATTTTTCTCCATTCTCCGGATTTAATTACATTGTGTCAGTTGACATAGATTAAACAGAAATAGGCAAAAATGATAGCAAGAACTGCAACAAATATATCATTACACAAATTGTTAAAAAGAGAATACGATCTAAAATAGAACCACCAAAGTTGATTCCGAAAATGCAGAAACATGCAATTGCACGTATTCATTCTAAAAAGCAATTTCTTAGAAAATTGGCACGATCGAAAGCGGTTCACATCGTATTCTTGGATACGGAAAAAGCATTCGATAAAGTAACGGGTGGTAGTCTGGGCCCTTTACCATTTATAAATGATATGGACCATCTAATTAGAATGTCAGAACAGTGATGAAAACTCCTTTACGTTGTATATCGACAACTAAAACGTATCAGTGTATCGCGATGTGCTCTAGAAGAAAATTTGAAGATTTGAGACCAGATACCAATTTCCAATTAAACTAAACTGAAAGTTTATAAAAGATTTACAGACCAATCATTAGAATAGGCACAAAAGTAAAATAGGAGCAGCAGATATGAAATAATTAAGAGTAAAAGGAGATACAAGGGTCAAAATTGGAAATGCACATATACATATGAGAGAAGTACCATTGGATAGGCCATTTACACAGATTAGGTAGCACTGTATCGGTTAAAAGAGTTTTAAAAAGTTAAAGACGGGGAGAAAGGAAGACCTGGAGAAACATGGGATAGTACTCTGAAAAAGACGGGAGGAAAATGGGTATAAATTAAAAACTCTCTAGTAGTGCTGTAAACAAAGCTTGAACAACCATTCCACTTAAATACATTACAAGAACAAGACACTACTTATTTCATTCTCGTTTTAGAAAAAAAAATCCTTGTCATATAACACTGAATATCGGAAACAAAACAATATATAATTTTATTATTTTCTACAGCATTCAGAAAGTGTCATGACAACCTGATCCAACAAAACAAACGAAAACACCAGGGCACACTCTTAAGATACTCTCCAGAAGGAGGAATATGTAATTTAATCCATTCTACCTTAACAACTATTACGTATTTATTATAATACATACTACAAAATTTTAAGCATTCAAGCTGTCCAAATAACACAGGGCAACAATTTTCAAACCTTTGAAAGTTGATTTTTTGGGCCTCTTAAATTTAAATTTTATAAGCCTTTTCCTCTATCACGAAGGTTTTTTACCTTTGGTGATTAACATATTATTTTTATTAATGCAAGAACAAACAACGAATTAAAAAATCTAAATTAAATAACAAAGTGTCAAACAATGGTTAAATTCATTTATTTTTGGAAGATCTTTCCCCCTCGGCCGAAAAACATCGTTCAGTGGATTTTTTTAATCACCCGCAGTAATCTGGCATCACTGCAGCGTTCCATCTATATTCCATTTGCTCCGTACTCACGGCAGCAGAACTTTCGGAAAAGCAGTCCAGATGTGAGTGTGAAAAGTGTAGTGTTGTTCTCATATCGCATCCCATTTCCTTAAATTTCTCTAACATGTTTTCTACAATGTCTTTGTAATTTGGATATTTGTTGTTTCCTAGAGAACATTTTACATTATGTACCAGAACATCATGCATCCTTATCAGATTCAACCATGGTATTTAAAAAAATGCACAACCTTTAATCTTTTAACGTCCTGCTTCATTAGTTCTAATTTAATATGTAACGGTGGTAAGAGAATTTTTATTGGAAAAATAAAACTTTCGAAAAACATATTTTTTGGGCCCAGAGTTAAATTACAGCAGGTACAAAAGCAAGAGCATTTCCGTTATGCAAAAGAACAGATTCAGACTTCTCTTGGATGACTCAATAAAAAGCCTCCAGTCCTCAGAATTGTAACATCGGTCCAATAAACAAGTGAATCCCTTTGTTCAAAACAGTCCATAACTTCTGTCTCGCGCTTCCTGAAATATCAGATTTTAACGTCTTGTGCCAGTAAATTTTTTATTTCAAAGTATAGGTATTAAAATTTTAAACATATGTGAATATATCTGTGGTTGCGGAGAAACACTGCATATATCATCATCAACTAAGGATATCCTTATCATTTCAGGTTCAGCAACCCTGGTGGTATCTTCTTCTAAATCGACTGAATTCTCAGATATTGGGATATCTGCGGCATGTGGCACTGGATTAATTGCAGACTTGAGATTCGGATAAACAATGTTTTCCAAATTTTTGGTATTAAATCCACAAACATTGCATATGCAAGGTTTGACTTGCTCACCAATTTTTACATTAAAATAATAGTATTGTTTTTTTTTTTAAACAGGAGTGTAATTTTACGTCTAAATTTCTTGACCACACACACAGCAGAACGTAACTAGAATATTTTTACAAAGTCTTGGAATTTTAAACTGCACAATGCTCACTAACCTTGAGACACGACTGACTTCGACAAACACAATTAAACGATAAACGGGTTTTCTTCAAGACATGCCGCCAAGACCGGAAGCAGCAATGTTTTGACTACATATTTGGGAATCACAGAAACTATATTTTACTTTATGCAAGATGTATGCCAGTGGCATAGCAATTTCAATTTTTAGAATGTTATGTAATGTTCCTATATTTAAAACAATAAATATGACATCTCAAAAATTAATCCAAAAATGTTGCATGATAGAAACAAAGAACATTGTTAATTAAATGATGAAAAATATCAAATCAGATAATCTTTGTTGGCCTGTATAATTATTAATAAATTGTGATAGTTTTTATAAACAATTAATATTCAATTTAACTGGCCACGAACAACCAACATTGTTTCACAACCAACATTGTTTCAACCCTTTCGATTCGTAACTGTAGTAATAGTTTAGTCTGTTGTAAAGTGAACCATGTAATCAAAAACGATATACCTCAAGTATTATTAGCTATTGTCGGAATAATAAAAGTTGACTGCACGATGCAAATTGTAATCGGCCGCCAATATAATCTGCACAAGATAGGATCGTGGAGCCGAATCACCAATTATGTTCCGAAGTTGCATTATGCAACCTTCCAACCTGGTTGACGTATGATTTGTAAGCAACTCTTCCTGGGAACTTGTATTTGAATTAAAAATCTAAAAGATGCACAACACTTTTTCAGACACCTTTACCAACTCGGGAACTAACGTGATTACTTACAAATACATCGTCGGTAAAGTTCACATCATCCGTGGCATTGCAAAAGAAAACTTCTCCCGATTTTGGTTGGGTCCAGACGGTATCGAATATCTCCGCTTGAAGAGAAATCGGTAAGTCCAAGAACTCCTCGCTCTCCGTGATCTCATTGTGTTGTGATATAAAGTTTATGCACTTGCTCTAAAATATACGCTTCAATATCAATGCAAGTTTAGCAATAAAAGCGCGCTACCTTTAATATTTTGGCGTTGTAGCGATCCGCGATGCATAAAAAATACAAGGCAGATTCAGCATCGATAGTCGACCTTAGGTGGTATTCACAAATCTGTTTTAGCGAATCAATTTCATATCTATCGCTCAGAAGTACCAACTCAAGCAATTTTTCTGACGAGAACTGGGTTTGCTTTAATTGGCCGCTGTATAAATATTCCAATAACAATCGGAATAATGCTGGATTTGTATCGTGTATGATAATTTTCCTAAAATAATAACAGTAATTACAAAAATAACATTTCATGTCTAAAAAATCTTATAAGAAAGCACATTCAATGTTTTTCAGTACGTTTTTAGTACTATGTACTGCCATGTACATTTAAAGGATTAATCTATGATATGCATTTTCGCAAACTTATTGCAATAAAAGACAACAACGCTCTTATTAAAGAAGCGGACACCATTTATATGTAAAATTCATTCATCAGAGGTGCGATTTTGCAAGTAAACAAGTATCACCTATCCTATTGTACACGAAAATATATCAAGGTTACATAATTCGCACAAAGGCACACACAAAACAATCCACGACATTGACTTATAAATGGGTACCTTCTTCGCACGTCATCGCCAAAATCTTTATATTAAGAGCTATCAGAGCAATAGAGAGAAAAATCCAGGGCTGGCCTTAATGACGCCTCAAATCATTCTCAGACAAGCAAATTAAGAGTGATGAGGTCCTTACTGGAAAGACCTGACCAGCAACGGGGTCCAAACAGATAAAGGATGATTCAATAAGGGAACTCGGAAACTCGGAAGAATATAAAAATATACATTTATATAAAAATATATATTTACCATTTTAGATTAGTGTATTACAATTAGGTATGAAAGATGATGTCATTCAAATGACCCCCGCGACTCATGTGGCATGACGTAATTTGTTTTTTGAAATTTCCTATCACTTTTTGACACAATTCAGGTTCTATGCCGACTATTTCGCGTCTAATCTCCTGTTTCGGCTCTGGAATAGTGTTTGGTTTATTTCTATACACTGTGCTCTTTAGATACCAAAAAAAAAATCTAAGGGAGTAAGATCACATGATCGCGGCGGCCAATTGATATCGCCGTTACGTGAGATAATCCGACCACGAAACTTGCCCCGCAGCAATTGCATCGTTTGTCTGGATGTGTGACAAGTGGCTCCATCCTGTTGGAACCACAACCCTAACCGTAACAGCGATCTCCGCATTATCCTCGAAAAAAAAAGGGCCAATTATTCCTCCGCACCAAACAGTCACTTTTTGAGGATGCTTTGCTTTTTGAACAATCTCTCTTGGATTTTCTAATCCCCAAATACGAGCATTGTGTTTGTTTACAAAAGCCACCAACGTGAAAATGTGCCTCATCGCGAAAGATCATTTTCGTTGAAAAATGAACCCCTTGTTCTCGTATCTATTCTGCAAACACGCGGCGCTGTTGATGATCTCGAGGTTTCACCTCCTGAGTTATTTGGACTTTATATGGGTGTACATGCAAGTCTTTTGTTAAAATTCGATGTGTGGTGGAATACGTCAGGACCACTTGCTGCGATCGATGACGAATCGATGTGTTTGGATCTTCGGCTACACTTTCGCGAACAATGGCAATATTTTGATCTGACCGACCTGCACGAGCACGTTGAGGGACTTTGAGGTTAGTTACAGATCCAGTTTGCTCAAATTTTTGAACCACATTCCAAATTGTCCTCTCAGGTCGATTTTACGCACCAAAAAATTCACGTAGAGCCCGAAATGCATTTTTTCTTGATCGACCATTTTCATAATAGGCTTGCACAATTTTTACACATTGTTCAGTCGTATATTGCTCTATGACGAATTTTGTTTGTGTTTTGAGGTTAGAAATCTCATATGATAATAAACAAATACAGTGGCGTTTCAAAAATATTTCAGATAGTAATGTGGAAACTCTTATTGAATCACCCGTTATTTAAAACAAAAAGAAACCCACTAATAAGGAAGAGAGGCAAATATTGATACATTTCATGCATGACAGGATTGTCAAAAAAGCTTCAAAATATCCAATACATAATCAGACTATCACTGAGACCAAACCCCTTGGGTAGAAAGAAACCAAAAACTGCATCTATAAAGTACCATGTCAGGCGAAACAACAAAATGCTGGATAGCCCAACCAGTATGGGAAAAGCGACAACAAATGCAGTAATCGAAAGCAGAAATAATACACAAAGAACGACATTGGTTTAAAAGAAAGTTGAAGGAAGCAGTCTTCATCCAGGAGAGCAAGAAGGCCATTAGTTGAAATAAACAGGCTATAGAGACTACTAAAGTCCAATTCACACTGAGAATAAATTTGAAATTGGAGAAAGCGGCACGACATTACTGAGAATCTTATAGCAACCCCAAAATCGGTTCAGCCCAAAAGATTTGTTATTCAGATATATGTAATTTTAAAAAAATATACATGTATTACTAAAAGATTAAAATACCATATAAACATAAAGCTGGATAGTATCAATGTTTAAAGGTTTGGATCAGTTTAATGAGGTATTAAGGACAAATCAGCAGATCGACAAGGTGACTTGTAATACCCCCAAATATGAAAATTAGTATTTATTTTGTGTTCAATTACCATTATCATAGAATTGAAGAATTTTTTTTTCAAAACCATTCCGTCAACTTTAATTGCAATTTATAAGGCTATTCGAGGGGATAAGAATTTGACAAGTTTTTCTTGAAATAAAGGTAAAGGTAAATTAATAGATACGGGTTTTGAACATATGGAGCGTGGTCGCAAAAGTATAATGTCAGAGCGAACAGAGAAATTTGAGAGTTGGATCAATGCTGGTAATAAAATTTAACAACAGGTCTTAAAGCATCTACTGTTAGGGAATGGTTATTAGTTGGTTTTGGCTGGACTGATTTATGCGCTGCTTGGTACGGACTTAGTAATCAGTCTCTTTGAATAACTGTTCTCCATTAGATGTTCTTTAATTGGTTGCTGCAGATAGTCTGTTCTCTTTCGTATAGTGATTGAATTATGCCTCATTTGTATGTTGCTATTGGCCTGCATGTGTGGGTTTTCTGTACACGGTGGTATTAATCTGAGCTGATTCGGATCTCGTGACCAAGACGTCGTGCTCCTTTTTTCTCTTTCTCCATTCTGAATTTGATCCAGGAAATGTTCTAGCTGTTACCAGTCTTTGTCCAATATTATGAAGGTGTCGTCTACAATCAACCAACGTCCTGTTTGCATTTAAGGTTCTTAATTGTATTCGAAAAACACTATTGTAAACATTTACATTTGCAAGATTTTTCTTTGTTGATGAGCTAAGCTTAATACATCTTCTGTTGTATTTATATAACACTAGCATTTAGAAACTCCCTCTGGTATTAGTTGCTGCTATTTTCTTTTTCGTTGAGTTTGGATGTCCTGAATGATTAGAGCTAAGTTAATTGCATTTGGTACATGCGAGACAGAGCTGATAACGAAGTTGACAACTTAATTAAACAAAATTACAGTTACAAAGAGTTCCAATAGTGAATCACTTTCTTTGGTAATTTGGAATGATGAAACCAGTGTCGAACTAATAGTGTCTTTGGGCAAGTGGTAAAACTTTCTTCTTAAGAACTTTTGATATGATCAGCCATGTTTTGAATATAATAAAGGACGATAGTGGCAAGTGTAAGGCTGCTTTCGGAGTGTATTTTGTGATGGAACGCTTAATATCTCTAATGTGGAAATTATTAGAGAGAAGAGCAGATGTAAGGTGTTTTTATTCTCGGTTCGGTGACTCGCGTTGAGATAGTTTTGAAATTAAATGTGTTCAGGACCACCATAGCATAGCAGGATTAAATTTTAGAGATTTTATCACAATGCGTTCAGGCTTTTGAATATTAGAATTAGGAGGTTTGGATTTTTGAACGATTTAAATCGAGTTTCATTAGCTGTTTGAGAGGGCAGTTTTTTTAGGATAGACTCGAAGAGTTTACAAAATTCTATGCGTATGCGGCAAAGAATACATTGAAGAGACCGGACGAAATATATCAAGTAGGCTCAAAGATGAAAGAGCCTTAAGACTACGACAAATAAACTCATCAGCAGTTGCCGAACACAATCACAGAGAACATCAAATTTTATTCGATAATACTAAAATTCTTGCACTTGCAACCAAAAATCCGAGAATCTATAGAAATCTATAAGCAACCAAACAATCTTAACCGCGACTCAGGACTTTCCCTTTCACCAATATGGCAATCAGTCATCCGAGACGATGTTCATGCTCCTCCACAAACAATATATAAGCAGGTACAGAGTAGAATGGGAGCCAGTTTCAGTTAAGCTCTGAGGAAGCCAACAGGATGATTGACGAAACATCAGCAAGTTCGATTCATCAACAACCGATGCAGGAGGAAAGCAAAAGATTTCTAAAGACTGTTCAGTAGCCTGTGGAAATTTCTTTTAAAAAAGTGTCTGTCTATTTTTTGCTGCTTAAATTTATGAAATTGGCAATAGTGCAACATAGTGTTAGCAGTATTCAGTAGTTATATTATTATTAGCGAAACGCTAATAATAATATAACTATTACATAATAATAATAACGCTAACACAGGAAAAAAATATTTTTTTGGGTTTAAATTTACAAAATTATTAGTAGATTAGTAGGCAAAATAATAAGACCGCTCAATAGGTTTTTTTCATATTTGAACTACTTACAATTAAACAGGTAGCTGGCAAGATTTGGTCTCCCGACACCATATTAATGTCTTTTAAGCTACTCTTCATATTTTTTTATATAAAACGGGGTACATTGTATTGTAAAAAAATCTACACAGTACTAAATAAACTTAACCTTACTTATCAATAGCTTCTCTCATTCCCGACTGCAACGCTCGTCTAAACCAATCACATCTTGCCGCTACAATCACTCGATGAGCTTTTATGACGCATTTTCGGGATACCGTCGCACCGGGCGTCTCGATATTGTCCCTATTTTCATTGGTGCATACCACTTCGAATTCCATATCCGTATTCACTTCGTCATACAGTAGTTGCAAACATTTTTTTGCCAAATTGCTATTAATGGCATTGGGCGGAATACACAAAGACTTTACCAAATTTAACTAAAGCAAAAATGATTTAGATTTGGTCATCACATAAATAATTATAATTTTTACATTAATTTCTGGAGCGGACTCTGATTTAGAATCGGACGTTGAAGCACTTTTTTGGGTTGGATGCGATTGCTGATTTATAGACAATGGTTTATCAAGTAGTCCCAAACTTTGGAGGGTTTGATTAAACGAAGTCCTTTCAACTAATTTACAAGCATGGGTCATAATATCTTGGGAAATGTCCAAATGTTCCCGCAACTTTTCCAATATGTAGGCCTGAAACGCGAACAATGTCATAAAATATCGAATTTAATAGACATGCATGTCATTAACATACAATTTTACTTGTTTCGACTTTGAAAAAGAATTTAAATTCGTTAAGTTCCAGCTTTTCATCGAAAACATCGACTAATTCGTCCAATCTTATCAAAAAAATCGGCAGCTCCTTTATGAAAAAGTCTAAACTTCTTCCTATGACTTGAACTTTTTCAGCAGGGTTTAAATTACTGTACATTTCTCTGAAACAGAACAATCTATAAAGATTCAAACGGCCAGGAGAATGTGCACAAGATGTCTTTTTTTTTAAATGCCGTTGAGTGGATCGTCTCGGACAGAATCGAATTGAGTGCATTTTTGTTGTGTCTATGTCTATATTAATGATTAGTTGTCAAGACATAAGTTCGTTTGTTTTACTATTTTAATCTGTGCAGCCTTTACTAGTCGCTAACACGTGGATCTCTATTTGTGCAAGGAGTATTGTGCCCCCTGTGCTGTTAGACGTTAATTTATGACAAAGTGATGTATGTATTGACGTCCCTAATGTGTTTTTCTTGTTTTTTGTTATTTTACATTTTAAAGTCCTAAGGAACCCTGAATACTTGGGCGAAAGCTTGACTTAACAAAAAAAGCCATTATTTAATAAGCATTTACACCTTTTATTGCTCCCTCTCTATTAGTCAATATTGGGCGATCCCGTAGTTATTTTGTGCAACAAGTTACCAGTAGCCCGTTACTGTCCTTGTTGGTTGGCGAAACTGGCGCTAAAATCACGAATTCACAAATTTGAAAAATTTAATCGTGAGAATTGTCTTTTCATCTCTCCATCTCTTTCAATTAATTCAAAACTCTTCTAGTAACATCACTAAACTACATCACTATTTTCTATATACGATCCCATGTATATTCGGTCATTTCAGGATTCTTGTCCGAAAATAATAAATTAAAAATATATACTAAATAAGCAATTATAAGTTAAATGTTAGGCCGAAATCGAAAAAATCGAAAAAATCGAAAACCAATAACAGCAGTAAAAATTAAAAACTCATTTGGTCCAGATGTTGAGTTGACATTTAAACGAACACATTAACTTACTAAAAACGCAAAATATTAGTTTAGTAAAGTTAGGGATTTAATCATTAAAATGTTTAATGTGTAGCAAAGAAACAATACAACAAGGGAGTTAGTTACAATCTACAACAAGAATAAGTGGGAAACTCTTATAGGGATAACATCTGAAAGGAATGAAACTGGAAAATGTTCGTATTGCAGAGAAACTTGCAGAAAATAGATTCATAAGGGTGGTTCGGATTTTATAAGCCTAATTTTTAAGCATTAATTTTAAACCTACTTTTATTTTATTTTTTTTATAATCCATCATAATAAAACAGTCAGAAGTTGTTTTTTTAATAATCTGAAAGGAGGATATCAAAAGTATTTTGCAATTATGGCTTTAGTAAACATTATTTGTACATAAATCCTTAAAAGGCCGAATATAGAGGGTGTACAAATAGTGGGTCAAAGTAATTGTTTATTATTTGTTAAAAAAAAATACAAAAGTTAGAGATACGAACCAATTTAAGATTGTTTTCAAATATACAGGGCGATTCTTAAATATATGGGAAACCAAACTTTTTTTTTTTTAATGTAACACCCTGTATATTATGGCATCAGTAGATTTAATTTTGTTGTCGTTTAAATCTCAGATTTAATAAATTATTTCGGCAGTACATTTTGTATTAACATGTAACGAATGAAAGAAAGAATTATACTTAATTCGTTTCCATAGATTTTTCAGGGTAGGGTAATATTTATTTTTTATCCATCTTTAGTGATATTTTCGGACAGTTTGAGAATTTTTAGTATTTTATTCGTAAAAATGTGTATACCTAAAAAAATACTAAGTTTAGGTATAGGGAATGCTTAATAAATTTGAAAGAGCATTAAAAGGAGTAATTATTGGTAGTATAATATACAGGGTGTTCAATTTGATTTTTTCACGAAAATAATATTTTCAATTTTGACGCACCTTGTATAAGCGATTCGAACTAACTTCAACATGTAGGATAAATGATTGTACTACTTTATAAAATCCGAACACAGGGCATTTTGGACGAAAAAATAGCTATAAATCCGAAAACACTCAGTACCCAAAATAATGTTAAATTGTTTCATTTAGTGTCTTCTACAACTATTGCATTAAACATTATTTTATAAAACAAATAACAAACGAGATATATTACTTTGACACGCTATTCGGACACCCGGTATGGTTGTTAGGGCTCGCGCTTGATCAGGAACTGCTATTGAAAAATTTTTGGAGAATTTGGTACCTTCGGTACATTTATTTGTCGATGTATCTAATGCATTATGGTTAAGAATCTATCGCCTAGAACTGCGTTGATCTAAATTTAAAGTTGTCTAAGTCATTTCCAAGACGTGCATTGATGTTGAACCATCGTTTGTTAAAAATACGAAGGAAATTGCCCATTTGCGACTTAGTCCACGCTATATCGTGGCTTGGCGTCAATTACATCGCGATGCAAATGTCGCGCATTATCATTTTTTAAAAGCATTCAACAGAAGCAGGTTCCTTATAGAGCTAATTCCAGTTGGGAAATAAAAAGAATAAAGCAAAAAACGTCGGTACTAGACTGAACTCTATCCACTTGTGTTGTTTATTGTATTCATTATTTTGTAAACTAATTTCGAGAAAAACACGCCGTCTGATTTTGACTGTATTATGGATATTTGAATGACTTTTAAGCGATTTTAACGAATCGATAAAAACTTGAAAACACACTATACACTTGTTCGATTCACATTTTATGTCTGAACTTGATTAGGCATTCCTCAATTGTATGTTTTAAATATTTATAAATATTTTGTTAATGTTGATTGATTCTATGACCTAATGAGAAGCGATAACAGCGCACTAGATACGGAAACAAGTTTGCTAAGTTTACTTGTACGTTGCAAATAATGCTGTATGATAAATTTTTAATTCTGTAATTGCGAAAGAAAACATTTAATTAATATTATTACAAAAATTAATTAAGAACTCTTTGAACAGTGCGTAAAGCACTGATCCAAGGAATACAAATAATAAATTTATAAAAAAAATAAATAAAAAAATGGTAAGTATACAAACCATTACTTAATCTTATTACTATTATACATTGTAGAGTACCTATATTTAATTTACATTCAAGTGAAATTTTAACTGTTTTACCTTGCACATAAATTTAAATGTCCAATTCTCTATACAAATTTTCTGTATGCGTGCGACGATCATCATTAAATAAAATTTTTAAGAATTTAATTTGTAGAGTTTGTATTTTATTAAAATAAGTGATACAAGATATGAATTGTAAATATTCATTCTACTACCGTACTCAGATAATATCGGCTTTTATATATGGCACTAACCATTGGGTAAATTTTATTTGACATAAAATTAATATGCTCAGACCAGTTTAAACTACCATCGATCAGTAGGCCTAAATATTGAATTCGTTTAACACGTTCTATATTTATATTCTTAATACTTAGTCTTGGCATCTGTTTTTTTTTTGCTTGAACATGTTTTATCAAAAGCCAGTGCGTATATTTTTTTTAAACGTATTATTTCCTGTAAATGATTCTCACTTTCCCCACTATAAAGTATCTGCATATGTGCAATACCGTGCTGTAAGCCCTACACACTGCAACATTTAAGACATATAACACCTACAATGGTCCCAGGACTGAACCCTGAGGAGCGCCACATACACTTGATCGCATTTCACTTTTAACATTGTTTATTTGAAATTATTGTTTTCTATCCAATACATAAGTTCTTATTAGCCCGTAAATACTATCTCTGAAACCCATATTATTTAATTTCGCTAACAAAACATCTATACTGACAACATCAAACGCTTTCTTAAGATCAATAAATATTGCAACTGAAACACGCTTTACACCTAAGTCCGACATTAATCGATTTATAAGATCCATCGTAGCGCTCAGAGTACTGCTATTTTTTATGAATCCATATTGATACTCATCAAGGCAGACACTTGTTCTAGAGGGCCGTTCTATTTGAGTCCAATATCTATCAAATGCCCGCCTATCCCACTCACAAATAAAGTATCCTAGGAGCATGCACAGCACCAAAAAGCATATCCACTGACGTTCTTTGTAGTTTATCTTCAGAACAAGTCCTAAATTTTCATATGTGCAACTTGTTCGTTACCAGTGTGCAATAAAACGGTTTTTAACCTACACTTACTTGAGTGAATAAACAGGAGTCATTCTTCTATTATATTATTATTATTATTATTAATATTTATTTGCAAAAGTAGATATTACAGAACAATATTTTTAGTATTTTGGTGATGCTTATCCATGACTTTCAGCAAATAAACAATCACCCTAGTTCCACTAAGACCGTAGTCGCGCGTGGGTGGGCTCTCGCATAAATTTGCACAAAATGAAGGACCTCTAAACTGAAATAAACATCAATAAACAGAAAATAATCATCAACATTAGTAAATGCTATCCACTCTAAAACTCGGTAACATAATTATTATCTTATACCCAACCAAAATACACTAATCGATGCCAATAGAAACCCTCTCCCCTATATACACAATATAAGACACAGATATATACATAACAAAGTCTTTAATTGAAAGAATGGAAGAGTCAAATCAATTCTCGTATTTCGTTTCTGTTCACTTGTGCAATGATTTTTTTTATTTTTATTTTATATATTTTTATATTATATTTTTATATTATATATCCGAACAGGAGTAAGACACCTTCAAGTATTTGATTTTGTCTGTCGATCTGATCTCTGCCTTTTCCGTGTTACCAGCGATAAGTGTATCAAAATCTGGGTCCGTTTTGCTGGTACAACTAAATGTGACAAATTTTGTTTTTTGATAATTAATTGTCAATAGTTTATGATGGAAGCAATCAATTATATCTTTTAATGCTTCTTCAGCAATTAATTTAACATAATGTATCATCTGCAAAACTTGACATATCCAGGAAATTCCTCTAGAAGTATACTATTTAAGTAAATTATAAATAAGACTGGGCCCAAAACTGTCCCTTGCGGGACACCAGATATAACAGACTCTGAAGTGCTTATTTCATCTTCAATCAAGATGTGTTGTTTTCTCCCAGTTAAGTAACTTCTGAAAAGATCAAAAGATATATTTTTTAACACCTATATCTTCCAAAGTTTCAAACATCTGTGCGTGGTTAACGGTGTGAAATGCCTTTGCGTGATCTAGGAATATGCATAAAGAAGGTTTACTTTTGTCCAGACTCTCATAAATTTTTGACGTTAGTGATGTTATAGCATCTTGTGTGCATGTATTTTTTCGAAAGTCATATTGTTTCTCAGAAATTATTTTAAATTTGTTTAAGAATTTTGTTAGTTTTAGTTTCAATAATTTTTCAAAAACTTTCGCCACTGTAGATATTAGGGAAATTGCCCTATAGTTTCTCATCTCTTGTTTGTTGCCGCTTTTAAATATTGGAATCACAATAGAGAGTTTAAAGTGAGATGGACAAATATCAACTGTAATAATATGGTTAATCAGATTAGTTAATGGTAATACTATTTCTTCACTGATATGTTTAATAACGTCTGGTTTTATTCCATCAATCCCAGGGGAGTTTCCTGACTTGAGTTCTTTAGTTATTTCCAGTACTTCATTTGTAGTGGTATTATGTAGACCAAAGTATTTTGTTGGTTTATGTGTTGTAGGTTTACGACTTTGCGGTTCTTTAATTTTTCCTGCTATTTCTTTCACTATACCTGAAAATATTTTCTTAAATTCTTAAATTAATTTGTGGATTTGCTTTAGTTACTTGAGCGCTGGGGATGTTTGTATTTGGTTTGCTACTTATAGATTTAACAACTTTCCAGAGGTTTTTGGACAAATCTCAATTCTTTTTACTTGTTCTTTATAATAATTAGCTTTGGTGTTTTTTATTGATTTATTAAGAATGCTTCGATAATTTATGAATCTGTTTTTTAGCTCAATATTCATAGGTTGTGCCTTCATTTTTTTTATATAGCTTATTTTTTCCTTTACTGATTTAATTAAACCGTTTGTTATCCATGGTTTTGTTTTTCTTTTACTTTGCTTGTAAATACAATACAATGAGTCAGCAATTTTATCCTTTAAAATTTATGTAAAATAATTTGTTTTGCGCTCTATATTGGCGATGCTATAAAACAGTTTCCAGTTTGTATTTTGTAAATTATCTTTAAGTTTGTTTATATCAGTTTTTTTAATTTTTTTAATTTTAATGGTCGGTATTATACTACCTAGCTCACAGGGTACGTGTATTGTTATCCCATAATGGTTTGTAGTGGAAGTTTGCAGAATTGCCGAGAAATAGTGGTCGTAATGATTTTCGTTAAATATTCCAGATCGTGGTCTTGTTACTTTGTTGATAGCATAAAGTTAAACTCTGATAAAATATTAGAGTAATTTGTAGTCAATTCGTCCGTTCTCTCTAACAAATCAATGTTAAGATCTTCAACAACGAAATGACATTGACTTGCGGTTTTTATTCCTTTTAAATATGACTCTAAGTTCTCAATAAAATTATTTTTATCAATCGATGGTGGTTTATACAGTCCAGTTATTATTATTGGTTTAGCGTTTTGATTGTGTACTGTTATTTGTATTACTCTGCATTGTCCAATCTTGATGATCTTCTGACCATAGCTAAGACTCTCTTTTATATATATTATCGTGCCGTCGTTTCTGTTAATATCGCCCTCACTATAAACAACACAATAATTATCCAAAGAAAAGAGCGACAAATCGTTAATTTTAAAAGTTTCCGTGAGTATAATACAGTCGAAAGATTCATTAATATCACTAAGTGTAATCTGAAGCCCATCAAAAACTTTTGAAACGCTACATATGTTTATATGAAATAGTGAGAAGTATTCACCCCCTCCAGTTCTTGTTTCCTTAAAATTATATACTCTTGTGTTATACTCAGACACATTCGACAACTCACAGGTTTCTATTGGTTTAAATTCACACTCAAGTATATAAAGATTCATACTATACAAATAGATAAATTTGAATTACAAGATAAAAACTTCGAAAAACAATAATATGCAGTAAAAAATGTTCTCCACTAGCTTATATAGACAATCGACAATAATAAAAAAAAGATATAAGCTAACAACAAACAGAAAAGGGATCTAACTTTTAACTTTTAATAGTTGTTTTGATCAATTTTCTGTATTCCCTTGCTTTCACTCAGTTTTCGTTTTCTTAACTGGAGGCATTGATTATTGTAATTCCTATTTTTTAGGCCGTTAGCTCTAGTTTTTATGTAATTGTTTTCGGGAATTTCAAATGGGGCTGGAGTTGTAGGAGTTGCTGGTTCAGAGTTAGCTGTTGGTTTTTTAAAAATATATTCGGTATCTTCCAGGTCTTCAATAGTATATGTTTCCCCGTTGTCCAAAAGTTTATTTTTCACTATTTTAGCAGAATAGTTTGCCTCTGTTACTTTTTTTAGATGATTTAACAAGATTTTTTGTTGCTGTCTTAGTGTGTTAGTGGGACGGTTTGAATTACTTGCTGTACCAATCCTATAGGTGTCACTGATAACGATTTGAGTAACTTCAGCTTCCAATTGTTTGGCGGAGAAGTTGCAAACTGTGTTTATAAGATTTTTTTCGTCTTCCTTTATTCCAAAAACCAGTAAATCATTTTTCTTACTACTACTACAGCAGAGCTTTGTTTTTATAGTTCTGACTTTATTTGGGCAACATTCGCTTGGATATTTATATTTTGTTTTGTGATGTTTGCGTTCTGTTTTAATTTCACTCAACATTGCAAATAAGCCATTGTTTGATTTCTGTTTGATTTACCATAATATTAAATTACGCTCCGCAATAAGTGTAGTAAGGAAAGTAGGCCTAGGTACCCCGGTACTGCATTTTTTTTTTTTGTTTATCTCGCAATAAGCGTTGTGGTCACTACCAAATTTACAGTTGGTTACTCGTTTGTAATCGAATTTCTATGCACCGAGGTTAAAGATTTTGCACTTACTGTTTTTGTTGAGCACCAAATGACGATATGATGTGTGGTGTAATATTCTTCACTAAAACATGTAATCTTGGCGGATTATTCACCGAGTACACAAAACTGGGTACTAGTCGTTTACTATGCACATACGGCACATTTATTAATTTTGAAACGAAGTCAGGAATATTGTTGTAATACACTAGCGGTACATCATGAGGACGACATAACTCTTTTTCGCGGTTCCGGTAAAAACTTGATTTGACGCCAGATGCCAGTAAATGCTTGTCGCGAAGTCTCTAATTAAATCATTTAATTCGCTCTAGTATTAGGAATTAGATTTGACGATATGACGTTTTCTAGTTCTTTGGGGGAGGCAGGTATTGGTACATCTGGTCCATAAGGAACTGATTGAATAGCAAAGTCAAGATTGAGATACACAATTTGTTTCTTATTTTTTCTGTTGAATCCTTTAACATTACACGAATAAAAATAACAACCACTGTGATTCCGAGGCTCTCGCCATACCATTGAAACACAAAACATTTCTTCCTACCTTTTTCGCAGTTTCTTAGTGCTTCAACGCAAACGGAACAAACAGTATAAGAAAATTAGAAATTTTACTACGACATAACTACCACGTATACAACAAGTTATTTGGATTGTTCATACAATGTCTTCTTTTCATATTTATACGTTCTAGAACACTAGAAATACGCAACAACGAAGACAACAGCCGCTAACACAGTAGCACGACGACAAATACAATCAAACTGCGCATAAGCAGGTTACAACGCTGCATTGACGCTTCTGGGCCAACTCTGTTGCTTTGCAGAGAAATCTAATATTATCCAGTGATGCCAAATCACATTTAATTTTATAAAAATAAGTACCTATATAAATATAATATTTCAAATATAAAGAAAGCTATAAAAAAATGACGTGTTAGAGCAAAAATATGGCGTTTTTTGGAAAAAGGGCCCCCAAAAATATACAAGTAAGCAAACAGCTTCCAAACATCTAAATCACTGTAGACCTGTGTAATTAATTAGATAAACCTGAACAAAAAAAGGACAATAGTGTCCTCGATTATTAGATTTAACAAATAAATAGCAAAATTGTTCTATTTTGCTAAAATCTTATTTTAAACCAATAAACTTGCGACATTTAACAACCAATATGGCTGCTGACAGATCCTCAATAAGTGTGGATGTTCTGGAATAGAGATAATGGCTTTGCTTACACTAAGAAATCACCATGTAATAAATCAACTCGTTTTTACAATTTAACTAATCAAAATATAACATTTTATTTATGTTTGAAAGTATTTTGATATTGATTGGTTTATAAATTATTAGTTTAGCCACTTTAAAACATCAACGATTGTCTTTTTTCCTACATTTAATGTATTGCGTATCTGTTTTAAACGAAATTATGTTCAAAATAAATTATAACTTGCTTTTTACAAAAGGACGTTTTTGCATTTTCTTATAGCGTCTTATCAATTTATTAAAAAACACCAATGAAACAAAATCATGTTTAATTTTGATCAAATCGTTAACGTTTTTTTTTGCAACGTTTTTTTGAGTGTATGGTAGTAATACAGAAACTGTATTTTTTTTTGAGAAGGTCCATAAGTTAATAGTTAACAGAATTTTTTTTTTAAGAGTTAAAAGGAGTTTTGTTCGGTTTCGCCACCCATGGTCTCTAGCCACTTCGGACATACGGTGCTTTAGTCACGGATTTGGGTGCGATCGGATGTTTCCGATAGAATTTAGCATAGTATTTTGACTTTTGTCCATTCTGACGTCACGCTATACATCACTTAGTCAATGTAACTGATTTTTTCTTCTGGCTTTTTGCTGCGTCCGATAATGACTCACAAACATGTTGCTGTGGCTTCTTTAGGGTCAATATACGACGCAGGAAAAATCGAAAAGTGTACCACAAGTTCCACTGCCTGCGGAAATCTAAACTAGATTTTTATTTTTCGCATCTTTCACTCCTCTACTATTTCGTGAACTTATATTTATATAATTACCAATACCAAATCAAACTAGCGACTAATGTGGTGTTTATCAAACTTTTTGCATATTGTACCATTATGAACCATATACTAACTTCTTATGAATTAACGCCTCCAAAACCATTTTTACATTCTCGTGGACACTTATCACAATATTGAATTCCATTTTGTGTATTATTCTCGTCAATCGGGATGAAATATTTTCCTCTGGTCGAAGTGGGATTCGCGAAGTTCTTGTGTTAAATCCTTGTACTATTTGCTGCAATGTTTTATCGACTTTTTCAATTAATGATATCACCGCGTCGACAGTCGCTTGTATCTAAAAACGAACCACGTTCATTAAACAACAATTTTTGATAGAATATATAATCTGATAAAGCATAAGTTAGAGAAACATTAAAAAGCAATTGCTGCGGCAAGTTTTTGAAAATAATGTATAATTCTACAAGACTCAAAACAACGTTAATGTGCAAACAAAAACAATACTAAACTAACCTAATCAGAAAACAAACGTGAAACTAAAACGGAAAACACTAAAAAATTGCTAAACAAACTTGGTACCTCGGGAACAATGAAAGAGGCGACCTCTATCCTTTGAGTTGCAGACATTGAGCGATAAATTTTTTTCAGTCCTTCCAGAAATCTTCTGAACTGGTTGTTGTATATGGGAACTTTTGATTTTAAGAGAAGCATAATTTCATCTTGTTCCTCACTCGACAATTTATTTACCTTCTTTGTAAATATATCACATAGTAAAATGAATTTGAGAATAGCTATAATAGATATTTCAAAATGAGCAAATGATTTTACCGAGTTATGTAATTTCGTTTTTTACACCTGTAGCCATCATAATCAAAAGGTACCTATAAAACAATTATTCTTTAAATGTGAGGGATCTTTTGCGGACTTTGTTCCTTTTTGCAGAAGCAAGAAACTTTTGCCAAGATATAGTGTTGAAAAGTTAAACCATTACCGTTATGTGGTCGAAGATCCCAAAGGTTGTATTAGATCACAATGAATGTACCGAGGGATAGTATCGGTCGAGAAAATGAAAGTTTTCCAACTAGAAGTCAGTTAACGCAGAACCTGACTGTGACAAACGAAACTTAAGCTATAACGAACGAACGAAGCTGCGACACTGCTTTTGAAAATATTGTTTACTTTTATTTGTCGTTTTGTATGTATGAAAAACTCTTTGTTGTTGTGTGCAAGAACGATAGGAATTTTTGTGGTGAGTCAGCGGAAAATATATTTTTGACAAATCGAATCGAATTTGGTTTTCTCTTGATCTTTTGTTCCGAGTTTCCTTTCAAGTAATTTTGACAGCAGTTTTTTTATACAAACATTAGTAAGGGTGCAGTAACCAAAATACCATAAAATCAATCTTGCAATTTACAATTTATCGGCTAAAAGTCAGTACGGTGTCATGTACATTTCTAAAATTTATCTATAAATCCTATCTATAAAAATCTAAATAATGAAAACTAATTACCTCATAAATTCTTATGATGATCGAACCAAAAAATTTTTTGGTTAATATTTTGAGTTAACACTGAATTCCGATTCAATAACTTTTGTCGTTAAATTTTAACTAATTTTTGAATTTGAATTTTTATAACTCGAGCACCCCTTGAGATTTATAAAACGTCTAGCGAATCATGTTTAAAGGTTGAAGATTAAAGAGTTAATGAAACAGTGCAACCAGTTTATTTGATTTTAGAACTTAAATTTATTTTGTGTCAATACCGTGGAACGGACAATTTGAAATTTGTTTTTCGTTTTTGACGCTTTGAAGTTATAGCAAAACCCTTTCAGTCTTTAATTTAAAAAATCTAGTTTTAAAATCTTAGACATTTTAAGTAAAAAAGTAATAGAACAGAATCACCCATATTTTTTGTGAATGTACGAGAACAATCATTGAATTGCACTTCATCTTCGTACACATTATACATCCTTGTTATTGTTTGTCATTAAAGAAAAAAAGCCTTGCTTTTTGCTTATTTTCCGTATGGGTATTCGTATAACAAATTAATTGCCTCTTGTTTCTGACTTTGTTGTAATATTAAGTTGATGTGGTATAATCTATTACTCTATACCTCATTTTTACAAATCTCATTGTTTACCTTTTTTTTCTCAAGGTGTAGGTGCTTCGCAAATATTTCTTTTCTCTTATTTTTTTTATTATTATTTAAGTAGTGCAACATGCAATTTCTCTAGAGGCAATAAATCTATTGCCAACTGTGTACAAAAATTGTATAATTTTTTTCTCTATTATCTTCGCAAATGTATAAAAAATTTACAACTTCAGTTTCTTAAATGGCACACTCTCCATATTTCTACTTAGGGTGAAAGTACTTTTTAAAACGATTTTAAAAATGTATAGTTTGTCGGTACAGTGCCAAAATTTTTAAGGTGTTCTGCAATTCTTCCAAAAGACCTACCTCAATCAAGAACTTCAAGCATGCACTGTAACAGACCATTCTATATTTATTTTGAAGTAAAAATAAATAAGAACTAAAAGTTCAGATTTTCACGAAATTATATATTTTGACATGGCAATTGTTTCGACAACACCGTGTCTTTATCAAATGTTTATCACATATATAATTTCGTGCAAATCTGAACTTTTAGTTCTTATTTATTTTGATAAATGGATTTTCATCAAGTAAAAGCCTCCTCAGTTCAATATTTTGAAGTACTATTGATTATCGAAGAATGTTTTAGGTGCTCACTTAGAATTGTATCCAATTCAGCCGAAAAATTAATAAGTTCACAAAATATCCAGCAATTCTCGAAAGTTTCACTCAATTCACAAGCTGCGCACAATTTAATACAATTAATAATTTCTATATATTCACGCAATAAGCATAATCTAACTGAGAGCGCTAATTATATTGGGTGATGTATGTCAATTTTCAAACTTAAATGTTCTAGATCGGTGAACTCTATTTCCGTCCAAGTTTTATCGCCACAGCATTATTATAGAACATTTTTTCTGTTATATCCACAAATCCATTCGTTTTTTGAATAAATGTCTTTACTAAATTTCCGTGTATAACCTTTTCCTATATTTAAACCAGCTTTTTCATATTTGGTAATAATATGATAATAACCTTTTGCTTTTAATTCTTCGTACGAATGTTAAAAATTCTCGTAACATTAATTAATTTAAAGACTACCTCCATAATGCACAGTGAATAAAAATTGTCAGAAATACAAAAAAAAACAGAAGCACACTCTATTATTTTTTACGTACTACATGCCGCATAGTGGGCAATATCAATGATATAGCATCCTAAAATTATATGAATGTATTAAGTTTTGCGAAACTAATGTAGCAAAAATATTACAATATTTTTGAATACATATCTAAATAAATTAAATTAAATGTTATTGAATATAAATTAGGAAATAATATTAATGATTCACCCATGGCAGGCATATAAGGTGTCAGTTAAAAGGTACCCAATGCAATGTATGCAATATAAACTAAAAACTATATATAATTAAGGAAATTAATATTACACCCATAGGTATTTACTCACTGTCAGGGCTCGAATCTGCATTAACATATCGTGGAATTGGTAAATGAGGGTCACGGAGCAACATTCTGACTTCTTCATCTAAGGAGCGGCGTATTCGTTTTGATGTTACTCCTGAGATAGAGGAAATTATAGGATCGGAGGAATACATTAAGGTATTTAATAAATCACACATGATTTTTTCAGGACACATTTTCCGCGTGCTAATTTCCCTATAATTCCTGAAATCTGTATTTCGAGATTCCATTGCTTCTTATGAAAACATTCCTATTGGCGACACAGCTTTTATTATCTTTTGGATCTAAATGAATCTTAGCAGTTTTAGTTTCAGTTTCAAGGTCGACTGTGTAACCACATGACATCCTTTTTAAATTAATGGCTAGCCTCCTGATCAACCCTTTTCATGGATATCAGTCGGATTTTGATATCTACTAGAAGCTTCATTTTTTTTCTCATGTGATCAATTACTTTTTGCTTCCTTTGTTCCATTTTTTTTTCTCCCGGATTGTCTGTATGAAACGTGTATTATCCATTCGAGGCATCGAATCCATGCGTGTAAAGTTGACGAGCCATATTCGTAAATCCTTACACCCGCCTTCATCGTCCAACAAAATTTTTATTCAATGACCATATCTGGCTCAGCGATCTCTATTGGTATAACGTTTCGTATTTGTTTATTGACTTTTTCGATTGTCTGTTTGATAAAAGGTATATTGTCTTTACTAAGTTTAATTGGCTGACAAAATCTTATTGACGATAGACGAGGATCCTGCATTCACTATTTTCAATGAATTTCTGTCTATATGTCGGGCGACCGGAACTTCCGTCACAACCCCACTTACTTATTTTGCTAGTTCTTAATGAAGTACTAAATTTTAGGTGTTCTATTAAATCTAAAATTGAAAATTACATCTGAATTTTAATGATTCTTCAGACCGACGAGACGTTATAACGTTACTTTGGCAGAAACGTCAGTTAGGAGGTAGCATTTCTTTTTAGCTTCTCGTAACACATTATATGCTGGGTATATATTAGCATGTCGCCTTTTTGCACCTGACTGCATAAGTACGTAAGAACTTTTAGTATATCCTCCATCAACATGAAAGGATAAGGCTTCTTCTGGAGTATATTTCACTGGAGATATTCCGGGGCTCGATAAAGCTTTTTTCGTTCGTTTTTGTAGGTGAAGAAAATAAACCCTGCAGAACTGCAGCAGCGTTGCGCTTACCAAACTTATACAAATTTAAATGTGTAGCAAGGATTAATTCTTCCGTTATAAGGGCGAATGTTGTCTTCCAAATGGTCAAGCGTTTGTGGTTTATCCGCATAGACCAATGACTTTACACAGCCCCACAGAAAGTAGTTTAGCGGTGTTAAATCACAAGATCTTGGAGGCCAATTCGCAGGTCCAAAACGTGAAATTAGGCGGTCACCAAACGTGTCTCAATAAATCGATTGTGGCACGAGCTGTGTGATATGTTGCGCCGTCTTGTTGAAACCACATCTCCTGGACATCAAGGTTATTCAATTCAGGAATGAAAGAGTTAGTAATAATAGCTCTATACCGATCACCATTGACTGTAACGTTCTGGCCATCATCGTTTTTGAAGAAGTACGGACTAATGATTCCACCAGCCCATAAAGCCCACCAAACAGTCAGTTTTTCTGGATGTAACGGTGTTTCGAAATAGATTTGAGGATTAGCTTCGCTCCAAATGCGGCAGTTTTGTTTGTTGACGTAGCCATTCAACCAGAAGTGCGCTTCATCGCTAAACAAAATTCGCTTATGAATATCCGGAACAACGGCAATCTCGTTTTGGGCCCATTCGACGTATCTACTGCTTACTTGATGATCGTTTGATGAATTGCCAAACCAAACTGAGAATAAATCACTTGACAGCTGTTAAATCGGTTGCCATCTTGAACAGTAATGCCAACTTAAAGTTCTATACATTGAAAAAAAACACCCATTATTTTGCTCGATCAGAGAGCTTACTTTGAAAAGTTTCGATGGTTTGCTTAAGTCGGTGAAATTTTTTGAAGCTCACCCAAGTTTCGATGGACCCGCAACATCTGTTAAATTGTTTTCAATATTAAAAAGTGCTAACGAAAAGGTAGCGTTGAGCCAATCGTTATGGTGATCTTCGAAAATATTCATAGTGCGGCTTGCGTTTGATCTAAAAATAATTTCTTTACAAGTCTTAGCAGCTAATTTTAGGATCAACAATAGTGAATGAATTATATCTTATTGAAAACTAAAAATATAGATCGGGTCAGGTGGAGTTATCTACGAAAATGCTTTATAAAAGTTTAAAATCATGATAACATGCAAAAATTTGACATATTAAAAAAATTAATTTTATGCTAACCTAACAGGCATTCGAAAAAACTTAATATTATTTAAATGGGCACATACCTAACCGTTAATAATTCGCCAAAGGAAGTTTTGAACCATCACTTGCACAAAGGAATCAATTATTTTTATTATGATTTTTTCGTAAGTTTTTTATTTTTTGGGAGCTCTGTAGCACTGCGGCGCATATGCACCAGCCGCCCTGTGCCTGCACTTGGTTTAGCTATTCTTGAAACAACTCGAATTTATTATTCAAAAGTAAGATTTTATTAATGAACGTCAACATTGCTTTGGAAAACAAACCATTGTTTATAAGCTTCGATTGAAACACTATTTCCCTATAATATGGGTTATTCGAAAGATAAAAAACATAAGATAATTTGCCTCATTTATTGAAAAAATGAAAATGTATGGCGAATCCAACATTTTCCTGACGAACCTTCAAGGAACACGATAAAGATTATTCTTCGACGATTTGATGAGACGAAAAGTATTAAGAGAAAAACAAGGACAATTGTTGTAAATCAGGAGGAAGGATCAGATCCTTCAAATTATATAAACAGATCATGCAAAAAAAAAATCATTATACTTTTAAAAATACACCATTTCCACCTCTACAAATTTTTGCCAATACAAAATTTGACCGACGCTCATATTATGTGTCAAGAAATTGTGGGAAATCTTAACTACTGAAGGAGCTTTATCGAGTAACAGGCATTTGCACTTGCTTCAAAATATTGTAGCAGTGACACGGTATCTCAATGAGGAGAAATATAAGTTAGACAGGAAAGCATGACACTTACTTAAAAAATAAAATACGTTACGATAGACCAAACCAATAAATATTTTATGATAATGAAGTGAAAATCAAATATTTTTACTTCACAGAAACCATTCCGATTTTGTTTTGCGAGCAATCACAACTAAGCTAAGAAAAAAACTGCTCAGATGCAGAGCAAACGATGAAAATTTGTAAATTGATTATTATTTTCAATTACTGTTGGACTAAAAAATATACTTAACACTTTCCTTTTCGAGTAATTTAAAAAACGGATAAACCAAACTCCGACAAATTATATATTTTTTAAATCGGGTTCAAAAATACATTCATATTAAGTACAAATATACAGGGAGTTATATTAAAAAAAAGGGAAGTTGTAATTTTTCATACATTTGGAGCGCTCATTTGTTTTTATTGGTACGTTCAGAAGATAATTGGGAAAAAATCATACGAATTTTGCATCAAACATTTTTTGGCTATCCCCTTTAATAAACTCTGTAGGTGGGAGTAAAGATATAAATGAAAACCATACACAGGGTGCCCGGTTTAAGAGGGGCCCATACTTTATCTCTAAATTTACGAGTGTTACAAAAATTGTCTCCAGTAAAATGACGCAAAAATGGAATATCCTATATTTTATTGTATTTTTAAATACCCCTTTAAAAGACGAATCCAATGATGTACCACGACATGACTGCAACAGCTTGGGAATGTGTTGCCGGGCTTATTTCAAGTTAAAAATGTCAAATGAACATGTTCCCGGAACGCTATTTTAACTGAGCTAGAACCGTTTGAAATTTTAAAGTAAATTTAAAAAGAAATAGAAGAATAGACAATAGACTTAACGGAGGCCGAATGAGAGCATGGGGAACTTTACACAACTTGGGTTTATACCCGCACCACATCTTACCTGTACAAGCTTTAAAACCTGCCGACTACGTGTCAAGGGTTAAATTTAGTCGCTGGATATGGAGTAATCAAAAGATGAAGCCTCATTCACCCTAAACGGTATCAGTAACACCAGGAATTCACATTGTTGGGCACATGAAAATCCACGACAAATTCTGGGATCCCATTTTCAAGATAGATCCGTTGGTTTGTTTATAATTGAAGAACACCTCACGGCCCTTCCCTACTTACGTTTTATTGAAAATGATCTTCTAATATTACTGAATGATGTTCCTTTTAATGTAAGACAACAAATGTGGATTCTACACTTTGCTCGACAACTAACTAAGATAATTTTTCAATCAAAATTATATAAACCGGTGGATTAGAAGATGTTCAGCAATTCCTTTGCCAGCCAGGTCACCTGACCTTAAATCCTTTTTATGGAGACCGAATACTTTAGTTTATGCAGAAAGCATTGAAAACAGAGAACAACTAGAACAACAGTCTTTACAAAGTGACTTTACAAAGTGATACGGATTATGGATGTCGCAGAAACTATTCGGGTTGATTCTGAGACTGTTAACATAGTTACCACTTTAATTCTAGAAAGAGCTAAACTATGTATATAACAAATGGGTGGACATTTTGAACAACTAATTCAATAAAATAAAATATAAATAAGTAAAAAAAACGATTTCTTTTAAACGTATTCAAAATTTTAAATGCTTCAAGGTCAGTTAGAATAGTGTTCCGGGTATATCTTCATTTGACATTTTTAACTTGAAATCACTCCAGCATTCCAAGCTATTGTAGTTATGTCGTGGGACACCCTGTATATCTGTCCCTACTCTACCTGTATATCTGTCCCTAAAGCACCGACACAGATAAGTTATATTGGAAAGGTTTTTATTACGTTTCTCCGTAACATATTGAGATAATATTCAAAATTGAAGTAAATATTTTCTCTTTTTTTTTAATCAAACACCCTGTATATTTTTGCATTTTCGGATATACATTTAAAAGATGAATACAACGATATATATAAACAGCAGTCTACGATGCACCGTTTTGAATTTATTGACGATTTTTATCAATTCCGAGAGAATATTAACGCAATCCACCTTAACCTTAATTCTGAAAGCGTCTCTAATGATTTTTTTATGAAGTTGCTGTATCGATAATTATTTATTTATTATTATGAATTAATTATAGATTATTTTCTTTTCACAGTAACATTTGGCAAACTTTCAAAAATAAAATTAATAATTTCATATCAAATTTACTACGTGTCCACCATTTTGAATTTTTGACATTTAATATGTAATTTGTCGCATTTATTGCATCCCGAATTTGTTATTGAATTGCAAAAACTTCTATGGACTTATTTTTGTATATTATCTCTTTATTATTTAAGCGAAAACCGTACATCGGATTGAAAAAAATCAAGAAATAAAATTTCATTAGAAATGATTGGAGATTGAAGAATAATTTTTATTTTAAGAGAAATCAGTGGCGTACCATTAATGTCTGCAAAATAGAAATGTCAACGTCCGCAGGCCAGCCACTGGTATATGGTTCGACCCGTCACTAATCCGCAAAAAACGGCGGCCTCCACGCTTTCGAAGTATTGGAAACGTATAAGGATAGGCGTATAGGCTTAATTTCGATTTGGGATCGGGCGACTAGTCAAGTAAGTCTCAGTTAGGGTAAACCAGGCGATCAGTACGGTGAAAACAGAAGGGCAGGAGTAGGACCTCGCGGGCTGCTTCGAGTTTGTGCAGAAAACATTCGAGTATAGGGATACGCAGACCAAACAGTTTCTTGCACTGACAAGTCCAGGGTGGAGATGTTAATATAAATACTGCAAAGAGCTTTTATAGAGTCTATTCTAATTCGGTCTAATAACGGGGGTGGTAGCGAGTGCACTCGTACCAACCGAGTTAAGTAAAGAAATAAGCCTGACGGTAGGTATTGTCCAGGACACGATAAATGGTCATGACTTACATAATACCATTAATTATATAGTTGCAGGACAGTGACAGCACAGCTGCAAAGTGTTCCAAGGACTACTTTTATTTAATACGTATTTACTATCTATATAATCACAATTTTAGAGTCCGCAACATAACAGAATGCATTCATATATTTTGTGTTTAAGTTTCCTTACTACTACCCTGGACCAGTTTGAATTTTACAGCATCCCATTATTACAGTCATAATCATTTATCGGTTGTCGGACCGCTAGTACCCTTATTGTCCACCCCTGTTTCCCGCAAAGTAACAATATGTTCCACCTATTACCAAAAATCTCAGTGTGATTCGAAATCGGGGAGATAAGACAGTTTTCCCCACAGACGATGTACCCCGAGTCACAACGAAGATGAAACCAATATACTTACTAACAATCTCTTCTCTAAAACTTTGTTTTATTGCATAGTAAAGTTTTGAAGGACTTGCTGCAATGTTATCCTGACGTAACGAGTACTTATTGTTCGGGTTGATGTATTCAATTATTTGATCCATACATGAATGCGCGTCACTTACTATTTTTAAGATTTCTAAAAAAATACACATTCAATTTAAATCGCGTTTACCCTCTGAAACTTTTAAATGGCCATGGATGTAGCCATTTTAAATTCAGAAATTAGAATTTGGCAACTGTTAGTGCAAATTGAAAGATTTGTAATGCTGAATCGATATAAAATAAACTGGTAGCGGACTGTATTTTGGCGACAAATTTGCATTAACATCAGTTTTTCAGCCTAAGTAAAAGAACGCGGCACATACTACAACAAGGGTTCACCCTACCTTCTGCTTGCCCCTCTGGTGATCTCGAGGGCTCTCGGTGGTTCGCTTCTTGATGGTTTCGGGCGCGACACGCAATTTTATTTCCGGGCAATTAACAGGTCACGGACGGCGGTACCGAACTCGTGCTAACCATTCGACAATATATCGCCGACAGGAGCTCCTGCGGGATGGCGCTGCTGTAGCCGCGCGAGAAGGGGCTCTTGAAAGTGGTATGGCCGTTTGTTTTTCGCGGAGAAACATTTTATTTTAAATGTATCAAATGAAACTAATCAGTATATAAATCTTTGCACGAACAGCAACCATATGAATGATTTCACTTCCGGTTTGAATGGAAACGGAGGACGGAGAAGGGTCCTTTTTCGATTGAGTAATTTTTTTTTTAATTTCGTTAGTTATAAAAAACCTTTTACCTAAAGGCTTCTAACATAATGAACTAATAATAGTTCTCAAATGACGTTAGACTGTTCCTCTATAACTTTGTTTTGCTTAATTTTTAGAACGATTTTGAGACCCGCACATCCGCCCTGGGAATTTAATGGTAGGAAATTTATCCCGTGCATATGGCCATCGTCCTAGAACCATCCGGAATCAGTTCGTGATAGATATCAGACGTGTTAGTATAAGAAATTCGTATTTGTGGCGCAATCTAACTTTGTGGTAGAAAGAAATTGTGCATTTTGTAGTTTTCTATGTTTAGGTAGAAGGTGCTAGAGAGTTTTTCCATGTATTCTCTGTGATGTACCTGTCATAAAAATATATCGTGGTTCTCTCTCTTGCTTGCGTATGCTAAGTTAACGACATAACTTGTATTTCGTTCTTTTCAAATAAAAGTGCCCAAAACGTCGTGAATTACTTTATTGCCCACATCTATTAGTTCGCTCCCACACTTACATACTTATACCAAAGGCACGCTATTAAGTAATAAGCAACATCAACAAATTCAGTCGTTCAAAGACGTTATTTCAAAACGAATTTAATGATGTCTCTGACGAGATGTTTAGCATCCACAACACATTGAACTGAGGTGGCTTTTACTTGATGAAAATCCATGCAGCAAAATAACTAAAAGTTCAGATTTTCACGAAATTATATATTTTCACATGACAATTGTTTCCACAACACTGTGTCCTTATCAAATGTAATATTTACAAACTACCTGCTATTATATATACCGAAAAATAACAATAAAACCTTAATTAATGTTGTTGTGAGAATTTAAGTTCAATAAAGGAGAGGTATTTAAATCTAATTGATCTTTAAGAAATAAATTTAATTTTCTACTTTTTGTGGCTATATGTAAAATATCAAAATTGTCATCAAAAATGGGTTTTTCTGTGTTTAAGCGTGTAGCATAATTAGAATCTAGACTATTGTTTTCAAACGCTCTTTTATGTTCGTTAATGCGTTTCTTGAAGGATCTACCTGTTTGTCCAATATAAATTTTAGGACAAGATCCGCATTTCAACCTGTAGACACCTGATTTTTGAGATTTTGGACATCTCGTTTTATTGTTTTTCAAAAATTTTCCTATTGTGTTGTTAGTTCTGAAAGCTATTTTTTAACCACATTTTGACAAATGTTTTGTAACTTTTTCGCTGGGTTCTCCTATGTATGTAATTGTTTTAAATTGTTTGTGTACTATATTAGGTTTCAGATAAATAGAGTTTACTGTTGTCAGAATTTGTTTTTTATTTATAATTTTATCGATAATGGACGGATTGTAGCCGTTGTTCAGTGCAATTTATTTAAGGATATTAAGTTCTTTGTTGTAATTTTCTGTTGAGAGTGGCGTATTAAGAAGTGTGTGTATAAAAGAGTGAAATGCAGCCATTTTGTGTGTATAAGGGTGATTTGAGCTGTTATGTATGATTGTGTTTTAAGGTTTTAAGGACCGTGTGTTAAGGTTTATGGTAAATGGAAAAATCTAATTTGTTTTGTTTTCGAAATAGTTAAGTCTAAAAAATTAATAGAGTTATCTTGTTCAATCTCGATAGTTGATTTTATACGATTACGTAATGAGTCAATGTAATTTAAAAAAGAATTAAATTGTCTGTCCGTTCCAACAAAGCAAGCAAGACATCATCCACGTATCTATACCACTATAGAAAACTTTTACTTAAAGGATGTTCTAGTATATTTTCCAAATTATCCATGAAAATCTCGGCTAACAAAGGACTAAGTGGGTTTCCCATATTCAAACCTTCCTTAGAGGTGTCCATTAAATTCAAAATAATTGTGGTCTAAAGCAATCTAATACATCTTGTTTCACCAATGTTTCCGAGTTACGGTGAAATCTACTAAATCTATCACATCCATAGGTGGAATATTGGGAAATAAGTTTTGTACATTTTGTTGCGTTTTCTTCGTATTGCTTTATGGACCGTCTGACCTTGTGGTAAAAACTCTTGAAAGAAAGAGTAAGCAAAACCTTGACATTTAATCGAACTTGAAGTGTTTTTTTCGGTCTCGGCGATTCTGAGTTCTCCCATTGGGACGCTGGGCTTTGGTTTCGACGTCATAACCATTTACCCATAATTCGTGACCGGTTATGACATTTTCGAGCATATCAGCGTTGCTTCTTCGACTTTTTTTTGGTCAAAGTAGACTAACCATATGCCGTTGTCAACATTTCAAGTGTTTTGCAGCACTGTATTCCATTTTTTTACACAAAATTTTATGCAAATTGTTTGTTCCAGTTTTTTTGACAGCAGAAAATCGACGAGCACACAAAACACGTTCAACGTTTGTGCCTCACAAAAAAAAGTAAACGTGCAAACAGCCATAACAAAAAAATCGAAGATCGAGTATGCGTAGCCCGCCCAATTACAAAATTCACCTTACTTACCACGTAAATTTACGCTTTAGTTAAGAAAATAATGAAAATGATCTCACACGCCAATGATTCCAATAACTTATGCCGTCTCTTTTAGTTTGATGAATAATGCAGCTCCAAACGCTTTAAAACTTGTCTCATTAAGCCAATCATCAGCGCTTCTTTTTGCTGCTTTCCTTGTTTTATAAATTTTAGAATTTCAGATATCTAAATTTCGAGGGTCTTTACTTGTAAACTATGCTTTGAAAGCAGCTGAGGTTCTGTAGTAGCCCTCATTGAGGACAATCAGTTTTCCTTAATTTTCAATCAGATAGCAGACGTTCATTCTGAATAGCTGTAGTTTTCAATTATCTTCAACCTGTTCAAATTTTCCATTTTCATATACCGATTCTGGACTGTTGTTCGTGATGTATCAATCGGACACATAATATGGTTTTCAATTGCGGCCACATTACTAATACAAATATTGCATTTTTAATATTATTCCTATCTTAAAATACTGCTTAAATTGTTTTTTCAAAGTTTCGCAATTCATAATTTTATTTTTGTTTAAATCCCAGATTTAATAAATTATTTCCGCACTACATTTTGCATTAACCCATTTTGTCGCAGTGGTGCGTTAATGCACCACTATTATATGTTTTTTTGTCACCATCCAGGAAACATTTTTGCACATCCATTTAGAAATTTTATTATTATCACTACTACAAAAATCGCTAATTTGAATGTAAAGGACAGATCTTACATATGACTTCAAAAGTTAACAAAAGCGGTACATAAATTTGTATCACATTTTCAAGTAAATCTAAAATAATAAAAAATATATTTTGGATTTGTATTGCCATTTTTGTTAAGTCTATAGCATGTAGATTACATCGCAGAAAACATACATTGCAAATACTATATTGATTATACTTTATTTATTGAAAATATTTACTGGTGCGTGAATGCACCACTGATGTTATCTGTGAAACAAAACATTGTTATTGCGAGACTAAAGAAGTCAGCGCATGTAGAATAAATATCCAACAATTAGCGTGTTTTTTAGTATAGTTTGTGCCTTGTACAGTGAACGTTACAGTTCATAAAATATGGCATTTCGGAGATATTTGACTCAAAAGGAATTAGAGGCGGCTATGAGGAGATCGTGATGGATGAGGACAATAACAATGAAAGTCGTAAGCATTATTTGGATTTACGTATTCTTATGTATTGTAGCATTCCATTCCTTGTAAATTTATGCTAAAAATAACGTGCAAAAATATTTAGAGAACATATTGACGCGGTCTATATTCCACCCGACGTGGATACCTTGACTGACGAAGAAGATATGGACGATGACATATATCTACAAGAGTTTGGGGAACCAACTGATATAGTCGGAACTTTCTAGTTACATACACTTAATGAAACAGCTGTCCTCCAACAGTTCTGTAATTCGTCAACTACTGAACCTAAAGGGGACTCATCACATGATGAAACCCTGGAATTCAAAAGAAGACGTATGCTTTCTGCAAATGACAGGCTTGCTTCTACTGTCAAATGGAAGAAAGGTCAGATCGAGTACACTCACACACCTATATCCGATGAATTTACATCATGTGAGGAACTAAAAAATAGGCTTTCTGGAAGACTCCGCTTGAAATACTTTGCATGTTTTTTGATGACGAAGTGATTGATTTGATTTTAAATCTTATATTACTTTGCGACTTCTAAAAAGTGATAAAACAATTACTCAAAGAAATCTTGCACCTGCCATAGTGCCATAGTGCCAAGTGCGTTATGATAATCAAGGTCACCTCATGATTGTTCATGCTAATAAAGCCCGAAGGAGATGTAGTATCTGCCACAGCCACACAATTTACGTTTGTAATAAGTGTAATGTGCATTTACATACTTCATGCTTTGTAAAATATC